GCCACATTGACTGATGGTGCCAGCTCCCACCGATGTGACGAAGGGCATTTTTAGAATGATTAATGTAAGAGCTGCTCTGCAAGATGTGACGTTGGCAGCTACAGCTTGGCCCACAGCTACACCGGAGCAGAGTTGCCAACTATAGTCAATTGAAAATCGCTAAGCCTCCATGCAAAAGCGCCTAAAATCCTGTAAGGTTAATGTAAACCATTTTTCTTGCGGCTTTGGTGCCCCCTAAGCTTTGGCACCCTAAGCCAGTGCCTTCGTGGCCTTGGCCTCACACCAGCCCTGCCCTGCCATTGAGGCATCTGCTAGTGGAGCATCCCTGAGGGAGGGTCATCCAACCTCTGTATAAACATCCACAGTGAAGGGACTTCCACCACCTTCCAGGACAGTCTGTTGGACCAGCTGTTATGGTTAAGAAGGCTTTCCTGATATCCCTCGCCGTCTCCTTCCTTGTAATGTCACCCTCTTGTTCCTGTCTTCTGGAACAACTCTGAACAATTCTGCTCCACCTTGTGCCCAACACCTTTCAGATATTTGAAGGCATCTACTGTCAGCCCCACAAGGTAGACCAGACAGAGAAACCAATGCTGTGTACGTCAGGACTACTTTTATTGTAAAGGTATAATAACAGAATCTTGCGAGTCTGAATGTGCTTCCCCCTCCCTCCTTTTATCTTGGTGTGAACGAGGGAGGGGCTTGTCTGAGAAATTTCCTGTGAGTCATTTTCTTGACCCCTTTTATCTGGCCATTGCCTTGGTAGCAGCTCTTCCTCCTTTCCTTCAAGGCCATTTGCCATTTCTTCTGTCCCATCACGTTTATGAAGATTCTCAGTCATCCAGGTGGAATTGTCTGGAGGTTGAGTCACGGCAACTGGACTTCTTTTGTTTTTGGTTAGAGACATTTCACTGCTTGTCCAAGCAGCTTCTTCAGTCTAAAAAGTTGGTTGGGGGAACCCCATTAAAAGTCTTCCAGGGTGGCTGCGTTTCTTACTAACATGATGGGCATTGAGGGGACAATAGGAGAAGTGATGGTAGAGTCTTTGAGATGTAGATGTCTTGCTCCTCGTCCCTCACTCGTCCCCAAGTGGGTCCTTAAGTGACCTTGTGAAGCGGTCTTAA